TTTTTTTTTTCTAGAAACTTACTTATAGAAGAAGCACTAGAATTTAATTGAGCCATTTTGATCTAGTCCATTATTAGCACTATGCCAGGAGAATTGTCAATCAGGCATTAAAGTATATGCACATTATATTGGTAGGAAAACTTGCAGAGTGAACCTCCCTGTTCCCTTTTCCCCTTTTCAGTACTCTAGCCTCATGTAGTTAAATTTATTTAATTTCTCGAGCTTACAGTCATCGTGTCATGCATACATTCAGAACAAGCCATATGAAACTTGCTCCTAATGTTTTTTATCGGTTAGTTTATTAGTTGAGGCTGAAATAATTGGTGCAAGACATGATTCATTGTCATATTTAGAGAACTTTTTATGCATCTCTGGTTTGTTAATTGGAAACTGTATTTGTTTTACACCCCTATTGGTTGTGAAGCTTCCTCTTTAAACAACAAGTGTTTTCCCATTGGAGGTGCGGATAAAAGGACTCGTCACTCGTGACTTTTCTATGTAGTTTTATGCTTTGATTTTTTCATAGGTATCTTATATATCCAGGCTGACCATTATTTTCATCACTTGAGTTTCATGAACTCTTTGCTGCTTGTGATGAAGCTAGTTGAGTTTAAGTATATAAGGAATATAACAATCAAGTATGTTAATGAGGATATTGACTTTGAACAAAGATGAGGTTTTTTCGTCTTGCTGAAGTGGACCACAAAATTGTGTTCAGATTCAAGTGTCAAAAGTGATACTCCCTATATATAGTGACTCATTCTTGTTCTATGTGCTTAAGAGCACATGACTGCAAACAAGTAATAATTTAATGTGTAGAGATCATTCACAGTGAGGACTGAGCTATTGAATGATAAGTGTAACAAAATACAAAGATTCATTTATCGGCTAAACCCATACTACTGAAACTTGCTGCAATAAGTTTCAAAGAAAACCACTTAACAATGATTGAAACATAAGAGTTTATGATTTCACTAGCATTTTATCACTTGTAATGAAATCAATCAACTTAGCTCCCTAGTTGAAAGTCGAGGATTTGTAGGGTTTTACCCCTTCCCACCATTTAAAGAATCTTTTATTAGTTCCAAACTCACTATGCATGTATTTATTCAAGTATTACACAACCAATAAAATATTGAGCTATATGTGTATCTCTTGTAACAAATGCACAAGCCATGCAACTTTATGCGATTTTAAGGTTTGTAAATAATGATCTAACTTCTAAGTACATATATCATCTCCGTCATCAATAATCAATATGATTCAAAAGCCATGAAATTAATGGATTGAAAGTTGAAAGAATCAAAACCTATGTACGAATTACAATTAGAAAAATTAATATACAATGGTATTGAAAAATATTAAAACCATCATAGTCAAATATAGGTTCTGACAAACATAAACAATGAGAAATCGTGTTATGAAGATGAAGAAAGAAGTGTGATGTTTGTGACTTAAATTTTGAAAACCGAAGCTGTCTCTTTTTTGTGTGTTTGTTTTTTATGTGCTATCCTCTACCAAACTTTGCTTAGATGATGTAAAAAGAATCATTATATAGTTTCGCCAAATTAAGTTCCATAAAGTAGACAAATATCTGCATTTACTTTTGAAAGTCCAGAATTGACAACTGAGCGTTAAATAATATGTCCTGCAAGTTTTGAAACTGTGATTTAACTCTAAAACTGAGGTGCTCATGAGCTTTCCCATTGTTCTACTTGTAATAATATTATTTTTATTTTTATTTTTTTGCGTATTTGTTCGATGTTAGTTGATTGGAGGGATACTATTTTTGCATATAAATGGAAATCAAATTTTCCTCTCTTTAGTCTCTGTTATTTGCTAGAAATGTGTGGTCAGTACATAAAGTTGTTGCCAGGTATCTACTATCAGAGATAAGGAAATTTGTTACGCTGGGTCTGTCTGAACTTCTGTCCAATTGTATTGCTTGATGCAGGGAGGAAATCTGTCATTTGGTGGACATATTGGAATCGAGGGTGGACAATCAGTTGGAGAAACAAAAATTAAGCATTGATGCTGGAGTAGATACCGAATTCACCACCCATGGATTTCGAACAACACCTTCCACTGAAAAGCAACCAGATATTGACAGAAATGCAATTGGGACTTCTCGTGAAAAGGTATATGGGAATGCACGTATGTGTGTGTGTGTACATCTCTCAGCATCTTCTTTACTTCCGTGTATGCTTATTTCAGTTGTGTTAAAGTCTTGAGATGATAGTAGGTGTTTTTGAATAAGTAAAAAAAGGTTATGCATTGCGCAGGCTATTAAGCTTGATTAACACGTCTGATACATTGAAATTTATAACTGATATATAAAGTTCTATAGGTCCCGGTTGGAGTTGGTGCTTCACCAATTGATATTGCTCGTGCATATATGGCTAGTCGTAGTTCTGGAGGAAGCCATGATTTTAATATTATGAACTCTAATGGTGAGAGGGCTGAGTTGGGCAATGAATTTGCAAGAAAGCCATTTCTGCTGCCACCTTCACCTAAGCCGGCAATATGTTGGCCTGGTGCAACGGTGCATGAACATCATGAGTATTCAACACCTCAGAGTCGGATGGGCAGACATAGGCTTCATAATTATCCGAGAACCCCTTATTCAAGAATCACATTACCCAAGTCCAATACGAAGGTGTACTGTCATTATTATTGTAAAATTATTTGTGACAGAGAACTTTTTTGATTTCATTGTTGATCCTTTTCCCTCCTATTCAGCTGCAATTTGAGAGTGCAGATGCAAACATGTCAACACCATTTAAACAGTCTCAGTCATCCATCCATGGGCAGGTATAATTTGGTTTTTTACACACAAGTTCATGCTTGCCATCATTCCATCAGAGATGCCATTTGGTGTGCTGAGGGAATGATAACATTTATTTTCATCATGCAATTAACATATCCAGGAAGGCTGTTAAGACATTATACTAACTGGTTCACGGTCGAACCTGTTGGACCGGCCGGTCCGGTCCGGTTCTGATAACATTGGTTTTTTTTTT